TTACTACTAGTAACAAGAAGCTACTAGGGGTTCCTGGCCTTACTACTGGTAACAAGAAGCTACTAGGGGCTCCTGGCCCTACTACTAGTAACAAGAAGCTACTAGGGGCTCCTGGCCTTACTACTAGTAACAAGAGCTACTAGAGGCTCCTGGCCTTACTACTAGTAACAAGAAGCTACTAGGGGCTCCTGGCCTTACTGCTAGTAACAAGAAGCTACTAGGGGCTCCTGGCCCTACTACTAGTAACAAGAAGCTACTAGGGGCTCCTGGCCTTACTACTAGTAACAAGAAGCTACTAGGGGCTCCTGGCCTTACTACTAGTAACAAGATTCTACTAGGGGCTCCTAAGAAGCTACTAGGAGCTCCTGGCCTTACTACTAGTAACAAGAAGCTGCTAAGGGCTCCTGGCCTTGCTACTAGTAACAAGAAGCTACTAGGGGCTCCTGGCCTTACTACTAGTAACAAGAAGCTACTAGGGCCTCCTGGCCTTACTACTAGTAACAAGAAGCTACTAGGGGCTCCTGGCCTTCTACTAGTAACAAGAAGCTACTAGGGGCTCCTGGCCTTACTACTAGTAACAAGAAGCTACAAGTAGTTCCCGGGCAAGCCGGCGGCGGAAGTTTCCTATAAGAAGAAACTGACCTATAGGAGTGTCCACGTTCTCTCCAACATGCGCGTCCTCCAGTCAAACGCACGCGCTCCGGACTTTTGACCCACGGGATTCCACGTGTGTAAGGTGTGTGTGCCCCCTGCGAGAGATGACGCACATCCGGCCACCACAACTTGCCAAGGATGCGGTCCACATCGACACACACATCCCACCGTGGCATTCTTCAGTGGCGGCAAACCTTGCATATCACACATCGGACTGAATGGAATCCGAATTTGAATGTAAAATCTGTCTTGAACTCTGAGACTATGTATGATGAGTCTTGTATGATGAGGGGTGTATGACAAGTGATGAATGATGAGTGGTGTATGTTGAGTGGTGTATGACGAGTGGTGTCTTGACCAGCAGTTGAATGTCCTGTCCTGCATAACTGCAACCAAATACTATCAGTATGAACTGAACGTGCACGCCGTGAGAGATGACTCAGCAGCGAGAGATGACTCAGTCGCGAGAGATGACTCAGCCGCGAGAGATGGCTATAGCGAGAGCTGACTCAGCAGCGAGAGATGAATGAGCAGCGAGAGATGACTCCTCCGCGTACTACACTGTTCGCCAGTACAACTCTAGTTGTACTACGAAGTCGCCAGTCCTCAGCTTCTAGCTGCATAGATTGCTCCGCGTGCTGAAGTTGTACTACAATGTCGCCAGTTCTCATCGTCCAGCTTGCCAGATACTCCGCGTGCTAAAGTTGTACTACAAAGCCGCCAGTTCTCAGCTTCCAGCTCTACAGATTGCTCCGCGTACTAAAGTTGTACTACAAAGTCGCCAGTTCTCAGCTTCCAGCTCCACAGATACTCCGCGTACTAAAGTTGTACTACAAAGTCACCAGTTCTCATCGTCCAGCTCGCCAGATACTCCGCGTACTAAAGTTGTACTACAAAGTCGCCAGTTCTCAGCTTCCAGCTCTACAGATTGCTCCGCGTACTAAAGTTGCACTAGAAAGTCGCCAGTTCTCACCATCCAGCTCCACAGATACTCTGCGTAGTAAAGTTGTACTACAAAGTCGCCAGTTCTCCTCGTCCAGCTCGCCAGATACTCCGTGCACTAAAGTTGTACTACGAAGTCGCCAGTTCTCAGCTTCTAGCTGCACAGATTGCTCCGCGTACTGAAGTTGTACTACAAAGTCGCCAGTTCTCAGCTTCCAGCTCCACAGATACTCCGCGTACTAAAGTTGTACTACAAAGTCGCCA